GGGGGAGCGAGCCCACAAATGAATATCAGGATCGGGGAACGGTTGATCCAGAAGTCGTGAACCGAGCAAAACCAGTTCGATAGGTGCCAGCCGTGGCGAGCAGGTGGAGCCCATCACAACATATACTACTGGACGCACATAGCATCTTGACAGCGATAGAACGATGTTTGGGTACTAGTGTCATGTATCATGTAATCAAGGCATTAAAAAAATGTCTCTCAGGATCCTTAGAAAAACTATAAGACATTTATCATTATAAATGTTATAAATGTAACTATAATTGTTGATCTAACCTCGCTTTTCATATGCTGCACATAACTGTAAATATTAATTTTACATACGAATGAGTTGATACATCTGTGCTCAGAGTGTTAGTTTTACATAAAATACACGTAAAAACCAAATTTCTTAATTTTATTTTGTATCTAATGTAATATAAATGTGTAATTCTAATTTTAATATACACCGTATTTACTGCGTTAATACCAATTAATACCTCCGTGATGGTTCCTGACTTTAAAGAATACACTACTGTCCTCCCTCTCCTACACATAATTCGGCAAATAGGACAATAGTAGAAAGAGAGTTCCGTGCCCAAATATTTACCTTACTCTTTCTAGGTCCGTCAAGACGAAAGATCAAAAAGATTTCGCCGCATGCTCCGTCCAGTACTATATATAGATAGTCGAACCGGTGGCTGCCACTATGAGAGGAATCTTCCTACCATCCACGGATTCCTATCGCACGTGTATGATATCTCGTGTTTACCGAGTGGACGTCCCGAAATCGATTGAAGGGCGTTCTCCAAAGAACGTGAAGATCATAGGGTCACAGAAACGGAGAAGCGCCAGGCATGGGAAACATCACTCGATAGGCTTCGACCACGTGGCCGCAATTGTTCACTGGGGATTTACGATCGAGGGTGCGAGATCTGACTGACGTCAAGTAATCCAGGATCTCGTGGAACATGCCGAGAGCTTAATTCGATCATAACATCATCAAGAGGAGATAATACATCGCCGTACAGTTTGACAACTTGAAAAAATATTGCTGCAACGTCACAAGCACAAACAGAAGCAACAACAGCAGTAATCTGTCGAGCGGTGTCAATCAAGGTATGTTTACGACTCTGTTTCATGATCCCGAGATATAAACTTCTTCATATCTCGGGACTCGGTTATACTTTCTTGCGCGAGTGACCTTCGTTAAAATTACAACGATCAACGGTCGATGGTATCGTTTTTTATAAGAGGGCAATGCAACTTCAGAGATAATTCACGATAATTAAACGATTTAATCCCTGATTGTTACGTGGTATTATACTTTACTCTTGTAGTGGGGTGCTGGCTTTGACATTAAAAAATTGTTTAAAAATACGTAGAGGCCAGAACTCTGTGCAAAACCTACAGAAAGCGTTAAAACTATTGTAGATCTGTAGTAAAATACCAAAAAGTCGGCGAGAACTAACCATTACGCGGTACTTTACTCTTGCGGTGGGGTGCTGGCTCTAACTTTAAAAAATTATTTAAAAATATTGAGAGGTCGGAACTGTCGCTGAAACCTATCAGGAACTGTAGAACTTTTCGAGAACTCTAGAATTTCGTGATAAAAATTAATTTTTACGATACTTGGGGTGCCACGCGAAGATGGCACCCCATTTATAAAAAAAATTTTTTTTTTAACTAAATTAGCGGAACTATTGTTAAAACTTAGCAGGAACTGTAGAACTATTGTGGATGCAAACGGAACTGTGTATAAAATATCGATTTTTTTCAAAATGGGGTGCCAACTTTACACCGGTAGCACGCAGAAGTTAAGTTAGCACCCCAATATTGAAATACCATAGTTCTGATTAGAGTTCCCGTTTCCTTTTGTCCAGACGAAGAGTTCTCTATAATTTATAACAAGAGTTCCGCTTAATAAGTATTTTTAAATAATTTTAAAAAAATGGGGTGCTAACTTCTTATCGAAATTCGAGATAGAATAGTTCTAAGCGACTCAATAGCTTTATTTAGTGAATACCTAGAGTTCCTGAAGCATAAAAAAAAATTTTGAAAAATCCAAAAAAATTAAAATTTTTTGAAAAATCAATTTTTAGATACAATAATTCTGCTTAGAGTTCCTGCTTCCTTTTAACGAGACGAAGAGTTCACTGTATTTTTTAATGCGATATTCACTTAATAACAAATTTTAAATAATTATTAAAAAATGGGGTGCTAACTTCTTAGCGAAATTCGAGATCGAATAGTTTCTTCTAAAAAATACAGAGAACTCTTCGTCTCGTTAAAAGGAAGCAGGAACTCTACGCAAAACAATTGTATCTAAAAATTGATTTTTTTTTAATTTTTAATTCTTTTGGACTCTTTTCAAAATTTTTTTTTATGCATCAGGAACTCTAGGTATTCACCAAATGAAGCTACTGAGCCGCTCAGAACTATTCGATCTCGAATTTCG